TCATATTAGAAGAACATAAACCATACAGTTGCAATAGTGCTACTGCTCGGAATATTCCAATACTTCTCGAATATTCATCCATTTTTCCGACAACTATTCTTCATTGGAGACTATCATTGACTGATGAGTGTTCTCATATTTCCGCTTTGAAGCTTACTATCTATGTTCACTCTGAAAATCCAAGGAGTTCAGTTTCTTCACTGAGCTAAGGGTTCAACGTCTGAACAGTTAGTGTTCATATGATTTCAATTGGTTTGAATGGATTTTTATTGGATTCGAGTGGGGTTTATTGTAGTTTATAGGTTTTCTTTGCTTCGTTTTCTTCCATTTTCGTTGTTTTAAACTTCCATTGGTTTTTATTTCTTTATTGTAACTCGTTGTTTGACTTCATCAAACTTCACTCCAATTCATTGATCTATATTAACCGGTGCACAAAATTACAGAAATAGGAAATAAGAATCAGAAATGTGATGCATTTTTAGAACGGTGCAAGTAATTATAATGTATGGGAAATTGACCTTGGAAATTTGCTTAAATCGATTTGTATCCATATTTCCAAGCTTAAACCCCTCTCTCCCTTGGTTATTCAATAGAAATTTCCACATATATTTGTTGTCCCTAAGGCTAATAGGGCATTCAAGGATTTTGCTCTTCGTTACAAAGCAAGAATCCCCACCTCATTTTGCTAAAAATCAGTGTTAAGACATCGAAAATAGAGCAACACTGACTGAATAATGTCAACTGCTACCTCACTTGCTTTGTAACAAAGCAACACTAGCTAAAATTCAAAAATTACTTGCATTGGCATTATATTGTCAACGGCTACCTCTCCTTGATTGAAAGAGAAGGAAGAAATTGCCAAAGATGAAGAAAATGGAAAGGAAAAACAAAGTCAATAGAATTCCTTGAACCCCTGTGCTGCGTTCCTCGAACCTTTGTGATGTATTCCTCCTAAACTGGGTTAAGAAAAGAGGGTAAATGCGACGACATGAGAGGAAAAAAGGATAAAATATTGACAGGGATGTTTTAGCAAAAATAGATGCAAAATAATTTGAAAAAGGGTAAAATAGGTATTTGAAAAAAATTGATTTGTCAGTTTCACGTTTTTTGTCTTGATCATTAATGAAATGGAGATTTTTGTTGAGTTTTTTAAAAATCTAGGGGAGGTTTTTGTTAAAGTTAAACTATAGGGGAGGTCTTTATGATTGTCAAAAACTTTAAGGGAGTTTTTTTGTATTTTACMTTAAAAAAAGATGGATAAAATAGTTTTTGATATTTCCAGTAGTATAGCATGAGACTAATCAATTTTCTAAAACATGGTTATAATTTAAGAGATTTTCCTTTTAATATTTGGTTGCATCTTGTAATTTAAAATCGATACAAATCCAACAAGTTTACATTTACACCATCCGTGAACCGAGTTTTAAAACGAAGGGATTTATTGGATAGATTATATGGACAAAAAGAAATAGATTGTTATGACCAATTGATAATGGGGGAAGCAGCCTTTGCAAGGCTATGCAAGATTATTCGTGAGACAAGAAGACTACATAATACAATAAGGTGCACAATAGAAGAACAAGTGGCACGCTTCCTACACATATTGGCACACAACGTTAGGAATAGAAAAATGGGTTTTCATTTCAGTCGGTTTGATGAGACTGTGAGCCGTCATTTCAACAACATATTGAATGCATTTTTGAGCTTGGAGGATAGGTATTTGATTCAACCAAGACCAAGTGGTACTGAAACACCTTCAGAAATTAAAAACCGGCATGATTTTTTACCATATTTCAAAGTAATTAAGTGATAAAGTATTCTTTATGACATATACACTCATAAAAATGAATAATAAAAAACCTAAGTCTACTAACAGGATTGTATTGGGGCAATTGGTGGCTCACACCTCCTTGTGAAAGTCCCTTCTACTGATGTTGTTAGGTTTCGAAGTCGTAAATCTTATTCCACACAAAACATCATTGCTGCATGTACTTTCAATTTGCGTTTCACATATGTATTACCTAGTTGGGAGAGTGTCGCATCGGACTCCCACATGCTTAACAATGCTTTAAGGAGAGAGCATAATTTAGAGGTCCTCAATGTAGTAATAAACTCTCACAAGAGACATTTTTATTTAATAGGTAAGTATGTACGTGTTTTCTAACTTTATATATTTTAAATAGGTAAATACTATCTTATAGATGCAATATTTTCATTAAAGGCTAGGTTCATTACACCATATCGAAGCACACGATACCATGTAAAGGAATGGAGTGCACATCAACCTGAGAACCTAAAAGAATTATTCATCCTTCGACACTCATCACTTAGAAATGCCGTTGAATGGATCTTTGGTGTATTGAAGAAACGTTTTCCAATCTTGGTATCTCAGCAACATTACCCTTTTAAGTCACAGGTGAAGATTATGCCTACATGCTACATCTTACACAACCATGTCATGGGTGTGAATCCATATGATTTCATCATGCGTTAGTATGATCCAGAAACAGTTGATACTGAGAATGATGTAGGAATTGATGATTTATATGATGATAGAACAAACAATACACAACTCTCCCAACTATCTCAGCGAGCTAGTAGAAATGAATAATCAAGGGAAGGAATTTGTCTCAGAGAAGAAATAGCTACCCAAATGTGGGTTGATTATGTCTTGTATCGATCTAGGGCTCGACATTAATTTCTTCCTGTTGTTTAATTCTTTCTTTCTAATATAATTTTTGTTGTATAACTTATTTCTATGTAAATTCATTTCTTTAACTAATTATAATGTTTGACTTTATTAATTGCCTATTGCTATTTATACAAAAATACTTTGTATTAATTGGTGTTATGGATATATATTGTTGATTTGCATTATTCATTTGATTGGCATGAAACATAAATTGACTCTTCTAGCTCTCAGCTTAAAAACAAGAATGGAAAAACAAATATGAATTAAACACAAAACATGGATAATTTACTCATTGACACACTTGTTAAGTAAGTCAACCTTGGAAACAAGGTTGACAAAAGTTTTAAATCACCGGCTTACACTGCAGCAGCACATGCTATTAGCACTAAGTTTTCAGTTGAATGTACTAAATGACACATATGAAATAGGCTGAAAACAATCAAACAGAATTTTGCAATATTAAAAAACCTTTTGAATCAAAGTGGCTTTGTGTTGAATGATTCAATCAAGACAATAGATGCAACACCCGATGTTTGAGCTACATATATTGAGGTAAAATAGATTAATAACACTTACTTTAAACACTTGGTTTACAAATTAGTATGAAAGATGACTTATTAGTACGAAAGGTGACTTATTATGGTACTCTCATGATAAATGAGTAGGCACATCTAGAGGCAAAGCAGTTCAAACAAAAAAGCATTCCAAACTATGACCAATTGGCGTTAACATGCGAAAATGATCAAGTGACTGGAAATTGTGCTTTTACAGCCAAGGAGCTGAATAAACAAGATGCAATTTTTGCAACTGCCACTAGTGCAACACTGAATGTTGAGCATGTGTTTGATGACATTGATAAGGTTGAGAATTTTGAAGGTCTTAACGTTCAAGCAAGACCAGTGGTGGCAAGTAGTTTTGCAAAATGAAGAGTTTTAGGAAAACGGAAGTTATATGCTTAAAATGTTGTTGAACAAGTGCAAAACATTCCTACACATCTCGAGAAACTTGCATCTACAGTTAAGAGAGGGTTTAGTTTATTTAGCAAGGAAAAGGTGAATGCCGATGTTATGAGCCTAGAAGGATGTTTAGTGGCATTTTTTATGAAAGCATATGACTTCTTAACTGAATCTGAAAGGCGAGTTATGACATTTTACGGAGTGGAGCCACATCTGAGGAAGGCGTGGCTTCAAATGAAGTTAGGGCCTTCATATTGAAGGGATGGATAAAAGACTTAAACTATTATAAAATCACGTTTATTAACAAACTAGGTATTAATTATATATGACAAAATTTGTTTTGTTGGTTGAGCCTTTGCATCCATTTTGTATAATTTTTGGGGATGCATTGGTAATTTGATGGTTGTCCCAATATTTTTTGCGATGGTCAATCTACTTGTATTAGGTGGAATGAATAGTTATATTTTACCACAATGGATTTATTGGTATATGGATGATTATGAATACATGGAATGAATAGGCTGAACTAATTACAGGTTAAAGACATTCAAATGATTTATTGATGTATGTATGACTTTCTGGATGAAATAGGTTATTGCATGCAACTTCTTTGATGTATGAACAAGTCCAAATAATGGAGCAATTTTAGTTCCTAGTAGTTTTTTTTATGAATGCATGCATATGTTTTTTATAGATGAATACATTGAGTAGACCTATGAACAAATTCTATGATGAATGAGCAAGTCCAAATAATTAAGTATTTCTTATTCTTTAGTAAAATTTTTGAATAAGCAAGTTTAATAACACTATCATGCCACGTGGCAAGTTTAATTGCACATGTCATACATTTGGGGGATGCAACTTGTCATAAAAGTAAATTACATGCAATTTTATAATTGGGCATAATTTTTCTCATATAAATTTTTTTTTGCGAAACAAACACCGAAAAATGAATTTTCTCATAAAAATTTTCTTAGCAAATAAACACATTATAACTAACTAAGAAAATAATTTTTTCTTTTCTTATCCCAACCTTTATCAGCGCAATTTTCCCAACAATCAAACAGACCCTACAATGAGTTGATACTCAATAATGAGTGAGTTGATACTCAATAATGGCAACCCAATAATACACACGTCTGATCACCTGCCCATCTGCCCCCCAAAAACGTCCCACGAAATCTAAGTGCGACGCGTGTCATGACACACGCGCACTAAGCGCGACGCGTGCGGACTCCATTTCGCGCCGTTTCAAACACGTCTGTTAATTCCTTCCCGCCCAAAAGGGTTTCTTCCCCCATTCTACTTCTATGCCCCTTCCCTCTCTTCTCTCTGCCACCTTTTATACTTTTAAAACAAAATGCTTTCTACGGCAACTCTCCGCCGCCACTTTCCACAACTTCCAGTCGCACGAGCTTCTCCTTCGTCAGATACGCCGGCGGTTTCCTCTGGTGAGTTTCCACTTTCCATTAGGTTTCCGTTGTACGCTATATATCTTATGAACCATCATCACCTGCTACAAGTTCAGATTTATGGGAACAAAATCAGATAACCTCTACGGCAGTTAACTGCTTTTTATAACTGATCCAGTTGGTAAAGGTAAAAGCAATGGAATTCTACTAGCTACGAATATTCACCGGTTCAGCCGAAACGAACGTCAAGATATATTGATCGTTTTTCTCTAGAATCTATATCCTTTTGGATTACAGTTCTGACTTCTAAGACAAAAAAAAGGCGAGCCTATTTTTCTGGTGAATTATTGAGATTCATGTTTTTAGCCGGGGAATTAATCAAGAGATATGGTGAACACTGCATAACCTCTTCTAAGTTTCCTGTTAGCTTTGCTCTAACTGTTACAGAGTGATCGAATTAATGAGTCTAAAATGACATTGTGGCCCGGCTGCATTGTAATTTTTCACATCAAACTTACTTTCTAGTTTCTGCTATAAATCAATGGGTTTCCGTTAATTATTCTTCTTTGAAGGTGTATGGTCTATGATCAGGACTACGAATGAAAGGAATAACCTTGGTCTCTTCCATTCCATACTTGGCGCCAAATCCAAATCTCCCACGCAAGGTATAACAAACGTTTGATTATAGTTCCAGATCCCAGATAGATTCATACTGATTCTGCACATATATATATATACGTCTTTTCCTGCAAATGCATACGTATACGCAACACACATGATACGCTAGCTGGATAATCCATGATCGTTTGTGCAGTTTACGCGGAGGTTTCTAAACATGGCTCAGCAGTGATAGAGTGGCTAGATACTGTCAACAGTGACGAAGAAGGGGAAGCTCATAACGTAATTTCACTTGTCGATTATTGTTTTTTTTTTTTTTTTTGATCTTCACTGGTTTATCCAACTAATGGAGTTTCGTCTATGTTGACCAAGGTTTTGATTTCGAAAGAGATAGCGGAGAGGGTGAGTTCTATTAAATAAATGTTGAATTCAATGGAGGGTGGAGAAATTAGTATCTCGGCCTACGACACTGCATGGGTGGCTCTAGTCGAAGATATTCATGGAAGTGGTGTTCCTCAGTTCCCTTCTAGCATTCGGTGGATCGTCGAAAATCAGCTCCCAGATGGTTCTTGAGGTGACCGTGGGATGCTCTCTGCTCACGATCGGATACTAAACACTTTGGCTTATGTGGTTGCATTGAAATCATGGAACGTATACCCAGAGAGATGGGAGAAAGGTATGACAAAATTAACTAAATACTGGTTCATCATCAGTTGTACGTATTATCAGTTCATCAATTGAGTGTGATGATTATATAGGCTAATTAATTAAGATGGGTTTTGCTTTGGCTTACTAGGAATGTTATTCATTCGGGAGAACATGTGCATGCTCGAAACTGAAAATGCAGAGAACATGCCGATAGGCTTTGAAATTGCTTTCCCCTCTCGTATTGAAATTGCTAAATATCAGGATTTGCAAGTTCCAGATGATTCTGCTTTCATGCAAGAGATATATACCAAGCGGAACGCCTCAGCTTTCTGCTTTCATGCTTTCCCTTCTCTAAATTGTTTTTTCTCAGTACCTACCTAATGTCTATCCTGTCGACTTGTTTGAACATATTTGGGCTGTTGATCGGTTGGAACGCCTCGGCATTTCTCGATATTTCCAATCAGAAATTAAAGAATGCCTCAATTATGTCTACAGGTGTCGTTATTCGGCGTCGACCGGCGGTAATCGAAAGAGTTAATCTCCGGTGGGTTACCGAAAAGAATGTCAAGGGTTTGAAACGGCGTCAGGGGGCTTCCACTCCGGCGGGTTTCAGATCTGAGAATGTTAAAAAACGAATGAGAAAAAAAAAAAAAAAAAAAGATAAGAAATGAGAAAAGGAATCCGCACGGTATGGCCGTCGGAAGGGGGCGCCAAGCGTTTCAGTTTCGACAGTAGAATGGGAGAAGAATGCCCAGAATGGGAGAAGAAACTTTTTTGGGCGGGAAATGGAATCCGCACGCGTCGTACCTAATATGCGTGCGTTATGACACGCGTCACGCCTAAGTTTCGTAGGACGTTTTTAGGGGACAAGTCTGTGGGGGCAGATGCGAACCCCATTCCAACAACTTACCAGCAGGAGATCCCAATTCGCAATACACCACGTGGGCCCCTTAACCCCTTGGGATCTGTTACCCACAAATTGTTTATACATAGCTTCTCCCTATAGAGTACCACCACCGTGTATTGGAAACATCTTCTAGAAATATTCCCAATCACGAGTAGAACTGCATGATAGGTACTAATTGTACAGTTGTACAACGTTAATTCGGGAGGGACAGAAACTTGCAGATGGTTGGGACCACGGTAATGTGTAAGACCCGAAATCAGATTCAGTCAGTGCAAGGTCCGTTCCAATAACCCATGAAATAAAACACGGAAGCATAGAGATGTTCCCAATGCGCTGTCCGAACGGGTCTTCAAGCCGATCTCGTAGGATCCACCTAATCGGTGTCAGTATCATAATCCTACCGTACCGCCCATTTCTAATTAATCCGATCATTCACCCGTTACAGAGTCTGTATCGATTAGGATACATTGCTGGCCACGTTTACCCAGCCGCACATCGGGATCCGTGATATAAATTACAAGAGATGTTCGTAATGTGAAGCTGGGTAAAGGCAGCTCGCAATGTGTTGTGGACTTGTGGTTAGCAGATCGCCGTTTATGTATAAACTAACAAATCGTATGAGTTTCATAACAGGTACGACTTCAACCGTCGGATTGGAATGGGAAGCGAGTTGTGAAAAAGAATATCTGATTTGGTGGAAAAGCATTGTCGTTTCGTCGTCGTTTTCGAAATGTGTCGTGAAGCACAGTATAGTTTCCGTCTGGATTTTCAAACTGGAATATTACGGATCTTATGATTTTATATACACTTGGAGCTGGGTAAAGGCAGCCCGCAATGTGTTGTGGTCAGCAGATCGCCGTTTATGTATAAACTAACAAATCGTATGAGTTTCATAACAGGTACGACTTCAACCGTCGGATTGGAATGGGAAGCGAGTTGTGAAAAAGAATATCTGATTTGGTGGAAAAGCATTGTTGTTTCGTCGTCGTTTTCGGAAATGTGTCGTGAAGCACAGTATAGTTTCCGTCTGGAATTTCAAACTTGAATATTACGGATCTTATGATTTTATATACACTTGGGGTTGGGGGCGTTTTCAGTTCAACTACCCAAACGTTGTTTTCTGCTCCAACTCTAAAGTCTAAACTCTGTTATTCGTCGATTGTGGCCTGTAAGTTGTATCGGTTCTGTCGATACGTACACAGTGAAGCTTTCACAACTTGACTCTGCAAAACACCCATCTCTCGTGAATGGCCGTGCCTGGCATCAGACAACTCTCTCTCACTCTCTCTGCAATAGGAGAGTAGGCCAAGCCCATCTTTCAACGTCAACGTCATGACAGAGAAGGAAAACAAAACCAAACCTACTCTTTGCGTCCCTCCTTTCTTTCAATTGCATTTATTCTTCTCAGTGTTCTAATATTTTTTTTCTTTCTCAAATTCTAGTTAGTTAGATTCGATCAACAGTCTATCTCATTTGACTCACTTCACCCACCCACCTTTCTCTTGTTCTCTCTCTTTCTCTGTTTTTCTTCTCATGGTCATACACTTTGCTTCATGTCTGCGTTTCTTCAATTTCGTGTTTTCTAGCGTTTTGTTAGGTTTTCTTCAGGGTTTTTTCTTTTTACAGCAATGAAGTGCTTTCACTTTTCTAATGGGGAGAAGAGGGAAAACGACGATGGCTCCATTTCTAGGGCTTCTAAGGTTTCATGGGCCCGTTCCTTCAGTGTTGCATCGAGTAATGTCGATGTTAGGTGCTCCGAGTTTGACTCGTATTCCAGGGACTTCTCTGGCTCGCTGGGCTTCAATGATTTCTTATATCAAAGGAGGAGTAATGATCTACGAGTATTCTCATTCTCCGAGTTGAGAGCGGCAACGAGAGGATTTAGTCGGGCCTTGATGATTGGGGAGGGAGGGTTTGGCTGTGTTTACAGAGGGGTCATTAGTATTTCTGATGATGATCCTGATGCAAAACTGGATGTTGCTGTGAAGCAATTGAATCGGAATGGATTGCAGGCAAGGACTTCCTTTATTATCTTCCTAATTCTTCTTGGAAATTGTTTAGTTATTATGAAATTGGGCGCAAGGTACTTGTGATTCCTGGATCCTAGTTCAAGTTAAAATCCTGAAGTCTAAATTCTTTTTGAATTTTTTAAACAAATTTGTTCAGCTTGAATTTCAATATTGAATATAGATATATTTTTTTTTTTGTATTTTCTGGAATGCAGAGTATAGTCGAAACCATGTACTACAACTAATAAAAAATCCTCAAACTTTGGTTACTGTTAACTAGAGAACGGATAATTGGATCTTGAATGTATACATTTTTGTGTTTCCTCCTCTTTGACATTGCTAGATTTGTGGACCTGGAAATGTACATGTAGTATCTAAAAATTGCTTCCTTTATAATGGTTAAAGTGATAATGTAATGCCGAATCGTCCTTATCAAAACTTCCTCTTGGGAAGAAAAGTACCAAATACCTAGATTTTTATTATTTGATTATTTTTTATGTAAGACAGACCAGAAATGTCAATAAATATATGGGTTCAATGCTATTAACCAGCAAGGTGAAATTTCTTTGGTGAAATTTCTGCGACATTTTTTCTGTCATTACTTTATATAAAAACTGTTGGTGCTTTCCATAATGTTAGCAATATATAAAACCATGATAGCCAACCAAGATGATCCATTTGCTCAAATTTGGTTATGTTTGACTGTCTTCTTTAAAGGAATCCAATGTTTGTGCACATTGGTAGTATTTAACCTTTCACCATGCTCAATAAAAGTCCTTCAAGGGAGCCCTTTTTTAAGAAAACTCACTTAAAAAAAATTGAAAATTTGGATGGCATAATATAACTCAGAAAAATTTTTCACTACGAAGTAGTGAATAGGGTTCACATTTACTGCAGAAGTGAAACATGCACGATGCAGACTCCAGAGTTTCCCTCTGATTCTTTTTGATCAGGGATATGATCAAAGAGATGATTTTAGTGATTAGTCAGAGGATTCCTCCACATGGAAGAATTAGGTGGCATTGCCTGCAGTAAATGTTTTTCCATCTATTATTGTTTTCAGATACTGTATTTTTTTCTGTTTAATGTCTATTAGCTTGTTCTGGTTACAATTTTCTTCTACGCTGCATCCACTTCAACTTTAGCCCTTGGATTCAGGGGTGGAGCTAGGATTTTTTTGTTGAGGGGGCCAAAAACTAGTAAACATGGATTGGGGGGGGGGGGCAAAAGCTAGGAAACATAGGTAAGGGGACCGAAATACCAAAATGTAAGATGGATTTAACGAGTGCTGTGGGGATTTTCAAGGCATAGGGGGGCCATAACTCCCTTCCGCCAGACCACCACCCTTGGTTCCGCCCCTGCTTGGATTAATGCCAATTATTCATATCTCAAGTAATTACCTTGACTAACCACCCCTGAAAAACTATGGATTATGTTGCCACTTTCATCCCTAACAAGTCCCCCTACACCGGAAGCCCCTGGATTGCCCAACCAGCACCCATCAAAATTTAGTTTGATGTGGGATGCAAAGAAGCTAATGCCCAAAGTTGTCTTTGGATTATTTGGGAGTGAACTATCTTTGAATCCGTAACCCAACCTGTTGCCAAATTTTTGGAGGCAAAAAACTTTCTTATTTGTGTTGATTTTGATATTGCTAGAAGGTTGCTCAATTAGTCAATTATGTCCCCAAGAAGACTGTGGATTCTAATTGTAATTAAGACATGAATGGAGTGAGTTATGTCAATATATGGGTGACCAACTAGTCTGTAATGAAATTCTCTCTGTTTTTTAGCTTCTTTTTTGAACTTTTAAGCTAAGGTTAGCTTATTTTGGTAGGTATCAATTCTATTCTAGAAGTTGTTTCATTTTTAGAAACTCATGCCAAACTTGTAATGAGTTAAAACTCCTTAGAAGGATTTTAGAAATTAGAGGAAGCTAATTTATAGTTATGTTCTAATTTTGATTTCTTGGTTCTGAAGGAATTCTTTCTTTACACTCACCATATACACCATTCTAGGAGCTGTCCATTCCTGTCTTACACCAATATGACTCAAAATTTTCTTTGATTTGACTTCATTTTTTATAGTAAAATAAAAATTCATTAAAATAAAAGAAGGTACATGAGAAAGGTGATGAGATCGCCCGAGAGAAGAAGAGAAGTGTGACTTCTCTAGCCATCTAACTTCTACTACCTATCTATTCTTTGTTTTTTCCATATTTGTGAGAATTTTGAGCATTCCCAAGGCCTCCTACATCACTTGGTTTCAACTTTTCTAGGTATTCTTCACCTCCAATAACTATTTACAATACTAGTTTTTCTTCTTTGGCTCTTTTTTTAGTTTGCATCAATAAACCAAAACTTACAAAAGATTGGTAGGATCCTCTCCATTGCCATAACCAGATTGCTGGAATATAGTTTTGGCAGTTAAAGCACTGGCAATAGATGTATCTCCATTCCCTATCCAGTTTATTTATTTTTTCTTTTTTTTACTGTTTTTGAGATGTTCTGAAAGGAATTCTCCAAAAGGTTCAAATCTCTCAAGAATTCAGAATACTTAATTAAGATCATCATGCCCTCAAAAGAGTTAAAGAGTTCAATTGTAGATATAGAAAGCTGAAAATCCTAGTTATAGGTTACAATACATTGATACTGTGTAACAGGGTATAACCTTGGACACTGGACAGGTAGTTGTTGCAAAGAGATGCGGTTTTAGAAAATTTCAGCAAATAGACTTTTATAACAAGGAAACAAAGGTGTGGTAGTATCTGACATGGATACGAGGTGTGTTGTGTGTGACATTGCAATTTCAGGAAAATTGAATTAGAGTTAGCATTCTAGGAGTTAGGTGTGTTTTGAACATAGATACTGTAAAATCCCTATTCGATTCTAGGTTAAAGTAGAGAAGAAGAAGAGAAGAAGAAGGAGGAGAAGAAGGGTTCGTCCAGATTAGGAAAAATCAGTCCACCTTTAGCCGACCCACTTGTATTTATCTCCAATAACATAGTTACAAGAAAGACCATATTGTTCCTCATAAATGATGGGACACATAACTTAAACTTAAATAAAATAGACCTTTCACTCTCAAATAGATAAACCCAAATGACCAAAATACCCATGATTTGTGTATTCTAACACTCTCCCTCAAGCTGGAGAGTATATGTCATATAGTTCCAGCTTGTCACAAATATAATTTACTCTGCCCCGAGACAATCCCTTTGTAAAGAGATATCCCCACTGATTTCCTGAGCTCACATGAGATGTGGTTATCACTCCACTTATCACTTTCTCTCTCAMAAAGTGACAATCGACCTCAATATGCTTGGTTCTCTCATGGAAGACTGGGTTGGAAGAGATGTGAACAGCAGTTTGGTTATCACAGTATAATCTCATGGGTTTGTCAACCGAGAACCCCATCTCTTGTAGCAAGTTCACATGTG